CCCTACTGCATACATTTGATATAAGTATGTAGAAGTTCAGTAGAATTTAAAACTCTAAAAGAATGGTTGCAATTTGAGTAGTGGTTTTATAGCTTATGAAACAACAGCTACAGAGCAACAGTTAAATAAATGTGTTTGAAGTCTTCTGAATTTTAAGTTTGGTTTTTATAGTGCCATCTGATTTTTTTTTTTATATAATGCACATTTGCATTATCTGTAAAATTTAACAATGCTTAGAATCAGATTTTTTTCATATTTCTAGAAAGTAATTCTAGTTGAGAATGAGGGGTATTGAGATATTTCCTCTTCTGTTTATTTATTCAGACTAACTAATTGTGATGAGACCGTTCCTGCCACTGTTGCTGTAACCACGAACGTACATGGAACTCGGAAGACCCCAGTCCAGATCCGAAGGGATTATGGATTCTGGTGTCCCCGGCACCTCCACACTACCAATGAACAAGGCTACAAGTTTCTAGGAATTGATCAGTGCGCACCCCCGTGTCCCAATATGTACTTCAAAAATTATGAATTGGATGTGGCAAAAAGCTTCATTGGAATAGTTTCAATCTTTTGTCTTTGTGCTACACTTTTCACATTCCTGACTTTTCTGATTGATGTTAAAAGGTTTAGGTACCCAGAGAGACCGATCATATATTACTCTGTCTGTTACAGCATAGTCTCTCTGATGTACTTTATTGGATTTTTACTTGGGAACAAAACTGCCTGTAATGAGGCAGATGATAAGTTAGAAATTGGTGAAACAGTTGTTCTTGGCTCCCAAAACAAAGCCTGTACTGTCCTTTTCATGGTTTTGTACTTTTTCACTATGGCAGGAACTATTTGGTGGGTGATTCTTACAATCACTTGGTTCCTTGCAGCGGGAAGAAAATGGAGCTGCGAAGCTATTGCACAAAAGGCCATGTGGTTCCATGCAGTTGCCTGGGGAATACCTGGTTTTCTAACCATTATGCTCCTTGCGATGAACAAAGTTGAAGGAGACAATATCAGTGGAGTTTGTTTTGTGGGTCTCTATGATCTGGATGCCTCTCTGTACTTTGTGCTTTTGCCGCTGTGCCTTTGTGTGTTTTTCGGTCTCTCTCTTCTCTTAGCTGGTATTATTTCTTTAAATCACGTGCGCCAAGTCATCCAACACGATGGCAGGAACCAGGAGAAGCTAAAGAAATTCATGATCAGAATTGGAGTTTTTAGTGGTTTGTACTTGGTGCCACTGGTAGCACTTCTTGGATGTTATGTTTATGAACTGGTGAACCGGAAAATCTGGGAAACGACTTGGGTGTTTGACCACTGTGACCAGTACCATATTCCTTGTCCTTATCAGGCAAGTAACAGTTTCCTTTATAAATAATACTGTAAAGTTAACTAACAAAACCCCTTATGCTTCACTGTATCTGCCATGCAATGAGTAAGTTATTTTCACATTAAGTAATCAGTTCAAGAACATAGAGCGATTAATTCTTTTTTAAGTCAAAATCAGTGGAATGATACTTTTGTTTTGAAAATTTTCACTAATTTGAGTTCGTAGCACTCAGCAAATAAATTCCAACTCACAGCTCTAACAGAATATATAACCTTTCTTTGAACTTCATGGTACAAATTTGCCTTGGAGGAGGATCATTCTTCACGATATTTGTTCCTAAATAGTTGCTCAGTACTTGGGTGCCTAACTCAGTATCAAAGTGCATAAGTTGAATTTTCACCAATTTCCGTTGAAGCTGAAATAGTGATTCGTGAAGATCCAGACTAAATGGAATTTTAAATGCTGCTTATAACCAGAGATTTAAAATCACTTTTGTCTTTTTTTTTCTTCGAACTGTAGAAATGCGTTCAAGAACACTTGAAATTACAGAACAAATTTCCAGTATATTTTTTCCACAATAGTTGTCATTTGCAGACTGATTTTCAGAAATGCAAAGAATTCTTTATGAAAAACAACCAAACAAAAAGCAAATAAAGAAAAAAACCTCAGCAGCACTTTAAATTATGGAGGTGATTGTATTTAATATTTGACTCCTAAAAAACTTCCTTGGAAAAGCTTTTAAATTAAATCTGCCTGTGTTCAGTGCTCTCTGTGGATTAAATCTCTTGCAATTGCAAGGAGTTTTATATTACAAATTACCTACAAGTAATTTGTAATATTACTTACAAGTAATTTGTAGTTTGTTTCCTTCCATTTAAGAACAAACATACAAGCAAACATCCCTAAGAGAAATGCAAGTGTCTTATGTGATCTTTCTTTGCATTACACTTATTGTCTATGTTTTTGCTGCAGTAAAATGTCATTAAAATGAGGAATATAAACACAGGCATTATGAAATTATAAGGGTTGATCTCTTACATCCTTAAACATTATTTATTATCCTCTGGATTGAAGTCAGTGTAAGCTGAGAGTAGCACAGTTCACAGACAACTTGGTTATTTGTGCTTCCAATACTGTTTCTTAACAAGTATATTTTGACTTCAGTGGGTTTTATTCTGATTTCTGTATCAGCCTAAATGGTTTAGAATATACAAGGTTGAAAACAAGACACTTATGTTAAAAAAAATAAATCAACAACATTGTTTTGTAGTGCTTAAATATAAGAGCTTGGCATAATAACACAGGAAAGAGCATGTATTTTCATTGTTTAATTAGCCTATTGGAAAGAAGAAATAGCAACAGGAAATGTTAACAAAGATCTATTTTATGGGATCTGTCCCTATGGTAGACAGTGTGTGCTAATTGTGGAGTAGCTTAAAGTGGCATGCTCAGCATTGGCTTACCTGAGCTGGCTTGTAGACTCTTGTTACATTGGCCAGATCAAAACCAAATGAAAACAAACTTCAGTTTAAGTGGCTAATGTTACCTGCCTAACAAAAATAGTGACTTTCATAGATGGGCTGGCAGATAAGCCAGGTAACATAAATTAAATCTGCAGAATGGGAGCAGAAGATAATGATCTCTTACTGAGTTAAACGTCTCAGCTCCTATGATACAGTTCTGCAAATAGGTGGATTAATTTTGCAGTAAACAGAAAGCTACTGTGTAGTTCCCTGCGGCTCCTTGAAGATGCTGTCTAATCTGATTAACTCCCAACTAATCCTTCCACTACCTGAAGGGAGCCTACAGGAAGGATGGAGAGAGACTTTTTACAAGGGCATGCAGTGACAGGACAAGGTGGAATGGCTTTGAACTGAAAGAGAGTAGGTTTATGTTAGATATTAGGAAGAAATTCTTTACTTTGATGATGGTGAGGCCCTGGAACAGGTTGCCCAGAGAAGTTGTGGATGCCTCATCCCTGGAAATGTTCAAGGCCAGGCTGGATGGGGCTTTGATCATCCTGGTCTAGTGGAAGGTGTCCCTGCCCATGGCAGGTGGTTGGAAGTAGATGGTGTTTAAGGTCCCCTCCTATCTGAACCATTCTGTGATTCTGTGATCCGCTGGCTGTTTCTTTTAAGTTGAAGGGATAAATCTTATATATACATACTTACCTCTGAAGAACATGTTTATTAATATTATTGCTCCCCAAATTACCTTTCCTTTCAATTTAAAAGAAAAATATTTCCCTCTGAAAAATCTCTGTGTGTGTTCAGCTGTAGACATGAACCGTGTCTGACTTGACTGTACATGTCTAACATTTGCCCGCAGTACAAGCCTCAGCAAAGAACAACAGCCATAAGGAGAAGGTCTCTCATTTACGTCATTTGTTTTCTGCATTTAAAAAAGTAAATCAACAAGTGTATTTTTTTCTTTGCATTTATTAAACTTTATCTTCTAGGCAAAGGCACTAGCAAGACCAGAAATATTTTTGTTTCTGATGAAATATTTGCTGACATTAATTGTCGGCATATCTCCAGTGTTCTGGGTGGGAAGTAAAAAGACCTGTTCTGAATGGGCCAATTTCTTCAACAGAAACCGCAAAAGAGAGTAAGAAAAATTTTTTTTATTCCTGTTTGTTAAAGTGTATACTTATAAAGTTGGCTTTAAGGCATGTTTCTTTATTTGTAGCTCAGGTAATCAAAATGTTGTCCTGAGACTTCTTTTTCAGACTTTAAATGCTGCCTTTGGGCATCAGCAAAATTCCATTGGAGTCGGGGGAAGGTTTACACATGCAGTGACTTTTTGACATTCTCAGAAGATAGAAATTTTTTTCCTCTGCTGATTTCTCTTTTGTAGAGCAGAAGGCATGTTGCTGTGTTTAGCATTGGCTAATACATCTCTGGTTTCGAGTCGAAGGAGGGAAGATAATTTCAGTCATCAGTTTAGTTCCTTTCATGTGTTGTGACCACTTCATTTGACACAGTACTTTGTGGTGTTTACTGTCATGCAAGAATAATATCATCTGCTTTTCTTCTCTGCCAGGCTTATCTTGTTTTAAAATTAATATTCATTGAACTCTCCTTACTATCACTTTTATTGCAAAAATCTAGTGTTCTTTATTTTTTTTCTGAAAGACAAGTATTCAGTTTTATTACTTAATTTTAGTAAATTTATATCTATGGATTTAAGCAGCTTATAAATTTCATCTCCATTTCTTCTTGTTGTAATTTTTCAATTCTTTCTTATTCCTTGATTATTTTTTTTAGATTATCTATTACTTATAAATTATACTGTGGGTTTAGATTGTTTTATTTCTTTGGATTTCCCAAGGCAGTAGTCCTTAAGCTCCTTTTATTTTACATTTACATTCTTCGATGGTCAGCTTATGGCTTCCTTTCCCTCTACCCTCTTTTTCCATTTCCTGTATAATTTTTTCTTGTATTTCAGATGTTAACTGCTTTCAGCTACAAGGATTTAAAAATAATGAAGTAATTTTTATAATGCTTACCTTTCTTCATTTGAATGAGGTTTACTTTATATAAAGTTAACTTGATAATGTAGCTACTTTATGAGCTAATCCTTCTTTCCTCTCTTAGATCATTAATGTACTGAAGTCATTAAGACCAACTTGCAGAAGTAAGATATGTAGAAATCTGCTTTATTTAATTGTTCTACAAACATAATTACTTTGGTGCTATTATGATCAGACTTTTTTTCTCTTCTTTTCACATATAATTTTTTTTTCTTGTTCATTAACATCCATCTCAGATTGCATCACTGGTTCCTGTTCTGTCAGGGTTTTATGTCTGAGTCTTTATCACATTATGGCCAAGGTTATCTTCTTCATTCAGTTACCTGCTTGTGTTCTCTTTTAGTCCAATAAGTGAGAGTCGAAGAGTGCTGCAAGAGTCATGTGAATTTTTCTTGAGACACAATTCCAAAGTTAAACACAAAAAGAAGCACTACAAGTCAACTTCACACAGACTTAAAGTCATTTCAAAGTCAATGGGTACCAGTACGGGTGGTGCAACAAATCATGGAACTTCTGCAGTAGCAATCACTAATCATGATTACTTAAGCCAAGAAACTGTTGCAGAAATTAAAACCTCTCCAGAGACATCTGAGAAAGAGATAGAGGCAGACGGGACACCAGCCCGGAGAGTCGAGGAAGGTGAAAACAGCGGAGATCAAATGTTATCTGGTTCTAAATTGACCATGGATCAGGTGGAAAGAAGAAACAAAGCAGATAGCACATGTCATATGAGTAGCTTGGCTGAGAGTATGAAGAGAGTAGGTGAAGGAAGGTAAGGCACCTGAACTCAATAATTTGCTTGTTTATGCACATTACCACTATTGTTGTAAGTTTTCTATTCCTTTTCTCTGAAGAATCAGTGTACTCTCAATATGCAGCTAACCCACAGTAGCTGTCAAGAGAACTTACAGACTGCTCCACGTGGCCATGTATCTTTAGCATATGGGCTATTTTGTATATTTGTAGGATTCTCCTTTTCCATGTAAGTGCTGAGTGCTGGAGCTTCAGCTCCAAAAAATCTATGACTGCACTTCAATGGTGATGGATCTGAAAAACAACAATAGTGACCCTAAGCTTGGAAAAGTTTACAGAACTGTATTGCATTCTCTTGAAAAGAATACAACTGAAAATACATTATGATTTCATTGCTCAATTTTTTGCCATTGTAATGCACTGTGCTTAAATTTACTGTGTTTTTTTTCATTACTTGCAGAATAATTCCTAAAAATGATTTTAGTGAATCTCCTCCACTACAAAGCAGCTGTTCCCAAATACCTGATGTCTCACACTCAGCTTCCATATCCCTACTTGTCTACTCAGCTTCAGACACCAGAAGAGAGTTGGATTCAGGAAACAGTTCAAATCCTTGAAAGATTGAAATTTTATATGAACATTTGCAGTTTATAAAACTGACATGAATTCTGTGTTACACTGGAAATAATGGATATTCTGTGCCTTATTAAAAAACACACATATCTTGCTTTGCACTTAAAAAAATGTATGTTTTGTTGTGGAAACAGCTAACAATAATGTACTGTATTTAATCCTATCCAGGAATAATGGAATTTGAAGTTCTGTAGGACATGGCAGTAATGTAAGAAAAAGATGAGAGACAAACATTTTATAATGAATTGCATTAAAGTAATGCTTAGAAAGCACTGTTACTTTTCAAGATACAAAAATTCTATCTGCCTCTTCGATATTTTTTAACACTTGTTAATGTTTTTGTCTTTTTACTTTTTTACTGTCTCTTAAACAATAATATCACTTAAGTAAGGGATACACAAATTTATAAATACTCTCTAAATTGTGTCCTGTTGTATCAATTACAGCACTGGTTTATGGTAGCTTGTACACTGAATATGAAAGGGAATCTGGAATTATAGCAATTTATTTTGTACATAAAAATGAATTTTGTAAATAACTGACTGCATAAGGTCAATCTTTAGAACTGCTGTATTTGTATGTATTGTACAAACTTGGGAAAGTTCACGTGCTTCCGTTAGGGGGTTGCTGAAGCCAAGTGTCCCCTGGTGATCAGACATGAGTCAGTTCTGAGTAAAGCAGGTTGTACCTCTATCTGTGACATGCACTGTTATCTGGGGTGAGACTGGTCAGGCACCTGTGTGTCCTGTCACAAGGATGGTGCAGCAGGGGCAGCACTGTTTCAGAAAAATGCCTCTTGGAGCCTCTGCTGGCCTGGTGTTCCAGAGCATTGTGCCGAAGGAACACTTCAGACCCCTGGCCTTGGTGGGCAGAATCTGAAGCACACACTTTGGGGTTTTGTACTGAGCTGCAGTGAAAGCTCATTTCATGGTGTTTCTATGAGAGTAACTTAAATTTTTATATATTCTGTAGAGAAATATCTTGCAGAAAATAATGTGTTGCATTATTAATATGCAAACTTGTTTAACAATCTCTTTACTCGGAAGATGGCCTTAATACTTTTTCTACAAAGCTTAGTTTTCTATATGCTACAGCAATGTATTTTCTCTAAATCAAAAAGGCCTTAATACATGTAGCCTTTCTTATGATAGGGTGGTTCTCAAGAGCTACTGATGTGGATAACAATTTCATCATTTGGCTTCAATTGACTCAAGATTTCTTAAGAGCCAATGGGATTCATTACTTGAGATAATTTGGAAACAGGATTGTGCTGTTTTCAAAACATGTCAATGCATTTTGTAAGACTGTCCATCATCTTGCATTTGATAACTAAGAATATTTCTCAATATTTTGATATTATGCAGGGCAATTACTGTGTTTGAGTTTGGGCAGCATTCATGGTGATGCTTTGAACAATGAAAATTGCATGGTACAAAGGGCATGTAAATGCTGAAACAACAGGAACTATAGTTCTGATAAACCAAAGTTACTAATTTTATCCGTCATACATTAAAAATGGAATGTCTTTATATTACAGTGTCTGCATTTTAGCATTTGTAACTTATTGCCTTAAATGGGATATGCTCTTTCTTTTAGACTTTCTCCATTAAAAATACACAGAATTCTTGCTACTGAAAAGTACAAAGAGAAAGATGAAAAATCTCCTGTGAAAATGCACAATAAATACCCTTCATTTTTCTAATTCTGTTTGTAATCAGGTAACTTTATACACATGTTCAGTAGTTTTGTTATTACTGTATTTGTTAGTAATAAAATATACTGTTGTATAGTAAGAGCTTCTGAGTCGGTATTTCATAGTATCTAGGTGTAGATGTTTGTTACTCTACTACTGTAGTATTTTGCACCTAAAACACTAATGTATTTCTTAGTAGAGCTCTGTGGGTTAATAAGTATTGCAGTGCTTTTATTCCTCCTATGTGAGAAACTGAGACAGAACAACGCTGGGAATTGTTCACATGAACACAGAGTTATGAAGGAGTAAGAAACTTGAAGTTGTTCTTTCATCCTAATATTTAGAGCACTCTCTCTTACATGACCTCTAAAGACCTCCTTTAGGTTACATAGAATACATATTTCCACACTGTGCTTGTGCTGCCACCTTCTTTAAATAGTGATTTTTAAGTTTTTTAATGTTATTCCCTTTTTTTAGGTAGTTCAGAAAAAAATCTTTTGTGGTCTCTTGCTCTAAAAAAGATAAATGCGAAGTGATTTTGAAGTTAAAGCAATACTGTGGGCTTAAAAATAGATACATTTTCAAAGAAGTGGGAAATGTGAAGCAGTGATCCTAACGTTCACCAGCAGTGAATTGCATCAGTGGTAGATAGAGACTGTAGCACTTTGTGTGTTCCACTGCTGCTGTACCAGAAATAACAGACTGAATTCCCAGGGTGATCCTTATCCTAAAGCGACTGTGATCTCTGGGTGCTTTAACCGTGAAGTACCCCGGCAGTAAATGGGAAGTTAAAGAGCGATTTGAATGCTCTCAGAAATGGTGGGGGAAAAGGGGCTCAGAGAAGAGTCAGGGCCCGGCAGACTGACTGCCTTACAGTGATGGGCAGTGGAGAACTCATAAACAACTTCTCTAACAAAAGATACTGGGATTTTTTGCTTTCCTCTTGTTTTCTGACCAAAGTTAAAACTGAAAATAGACCATTCACATTAAAAGGGCTTTTCTTAACCTGTGACAATTACTTCTCCCTGGGACATCTCCACCAGCTGTAGTCATTGAATCAAGGCTGACAATCTTCTGGAAGATGCCCTATAAATCCAACTATTTACATGGCTACAGCTATTTCAGTATTTTTTTCTGCCATTATTTGCAGGATGCTAGAATAAAGGATACTGACAACTTTTGCAAACCTGGAACTGTGTGTGCCAAATGGTCTTTTTCTCTTATTGGAGCTGTCATAAACCACTTCAAACTATGCTTTGCACTGAGTTTTCAAGTTGCATATAAAATCTTTCAAAGGACAAGATAAATTTAATATACCGAATCATATTTGATTTGTGATATAAACAGCACCTGAAATTGGCAGTATGGTAGTTTCATGGTACCTATTGTTCATACTGCATTTTACTGTCCTATTTTGCTAAATGCTTTTAGTGAAAACTGGATAAGATTTACCTAGAGTATAAATCTATGCACAAATTTGAAAAAAAAAAAGTTGTCCAAGCTTGCAAATCTGACCCAGAGCATGGCAAATATAAACAAAATAATGCTTGTAACCTTTAAAAGGTACTATTAATACAGAATCACAGAATATGCTGAGTTGGAAGAGACCCATAAGGATTATCAAGTCCAACTCTGACATGACTCCTTGATAACTGTTCAACAGATTCAAGAGGATTGTATCTCCTTTTTCCTTACAGGATGCAGAATATATTTGGTTTAGAGACAGTCAAATCCAGTCGAAATTCAGAGCAAAATAGAAAAAGAAATCAAATATGAAAAGTTGGGCTTCTTTAATGAAAATAAGTTTAGCATTCTGCAAAACACTGAAAATTGCAGTAGCTGAATAGGATGAAGAATCCTGTTTTCCTGTGAAGTCTGACCACCCAGTCTCAACGTGCAGTTTCAGAAGGCTGCATATCAAAGGAGAAATGCCACATCCCTCCCTTCACACTGGCTGCTTGTTGGATCAGTCTTTGAAGGCATCTGGCGCTCTCTTCACTGGTAAAGTTCACTGCCAGTATTAACCAGTGGTATTTGCAGTAATTGAGGTGGCTGGCACCAAAGGTATTTGAGAGTGTCATGGGAATAAATGTTATTTCCTGGCATTACCTTTTTTTTTTCACTTATTCTTTCACTCTTTGTTGCTTATCATACTTAAATTTTTTAATGGACTAGAGTTTAATTAAAGCAACCTATACCACATGTTTGTGAGCTCTCTGCTTTCTATATCTGGAAGTGAAGCTCAGAGTATACTTCTGATGTACAACTATGAAATCCATTTCTGTTTATTAACCGGATTTTAATTCCTACTGAAAACCATTTGAGATGCAAAGTATAATTAAAAGATTAAAAACATGTCAGGACATTTATATCCAAGCTCTTCATTAATGCTTATTCCCTGTATTTCAACTTTGTTCACAGAAACAAAATCTAAAATAAAAGTTTGCTTTATTTCAGGTCTTACTTTTCAAAATAAAGTGGTGGCCAATGAGATCTTTAAACACACAGATCTACCTTCATTAAATGGGTCACAGCTGGTTTCTTAGCACAGACAGGAGCTGGAGAGGGGAATAGTTCCTGCTGTTTGGAAGAAGGCAGTTTCTGTGGAAGGGAAGTGCTAAACAGGCCCTTGGTACTGGGTGGAGGGGGTGTGGAGAGACGCTGATCTGCCACCCTCAGGTACAGCAGGACAGTCATGAGAGAACATCAGAGGAAAACACTGGTAGTTTGGGCCTCACTATCAACATCCAAGGTGAAGAGAAACAGTAAGAAGCAATTTTACTTCCACTGAGTAGGTTTGTCAGTTACAGAGGTGAGGGTGGGACGATGAGACACAGCCACCCAAGGGGGCTTAAGGAAAAAGTATGTTCCGTGTTGGTCGTATATGAAGGATGATGAAGAGAATGTGCAGTTTATCCTCCTGATGTTTTACCTGATCATATGAAACTGGATCACAAGAAATTACATG